GCCATAGTGGCAGTAGCAGCAGCAGGAACAGTAGCAGTAGTAGCAGTAGTACAGTAGGAACAGGAAAAGGAGTAGGTGGGGCACAGTAGGGTGGCGCGGCTCGGCCAGGGCGGCGCGGCTCGGTTCGGGCGGCGCGGCTCGGTTCGGGCGGCGCGGCTCGGGTCGGGCGGCGCGGCTCGGCTCGGGCTGGGCTACTCAGCGGTGTGCAGCCAGGGGGGGGGGGGCGTGCGCGTGGGCGGCTGTAGCGGGCGGGCCGTGGCTGTGCGTGGGCCGGACTAGCGCGAGGGCGGCGGCCTAAAGGGGGGGCGTCGCGGCGGCCTACAGGTGGGGCCGCGACTTCCTGGGCGGCTGTCGACCGTCGGCCTAGGGGTCGCGCGTCGGCCTAGGGGTCGCGCGTCGGGCTAGGGGCCTACGGGCGACGGCCTGCTGGGGCTCGCCAAAAAAAATCGGGCCGCCCTAGGCGGCGGATTTCCTACTCGCGGGCTGAAGCGGCGGGGCCGCGCTCGGGCTGCTAGCGGGCTGCACACGGGCAGCGTGAGAGGAGGGCGCACGAGGGCGCACTAGGGAAGAAGGCGCACGAGGGCGTTAAAAAAAAGGGCGCTCGAGGGCACCTCTGATGGAACGGTGGGCCCATAGGTCTAGAACCTAAGCTCTTAATACCATGTTAGAAACGAGAAGTGATTGAACTATCAAAGATTGGAGTACAAGTATGCAACCCTAAAGTTGTGTACCCCCTAAAGGCTAACCCACTATAGCCTACACAGCAATAGCATATGGATAATGTTTGACAAAAAATAGAGTTGAATCATGCTCGACAAATGTTTTAGTTAAATCAGACTAAGCAAAATATATCGTCTGAAAAATCAGACACAGCTCCAACTTTCATCTCAAAAAATCAGACCGAAAAAACTGGCCCGTCTGAACGTCAGACGAAACGATTTTTTCATTTATATTTTCATACGGGCCTAAATCCTAGCAAGAGCCCTTGCCCATAACCTCCCAGGCCAACATGCATGTAACCCATCCCTAGGATCAATCGGGGATCACCAGTGGACCTCTGACACCCCCCCGCACTGGGATGCCCGAAGTGCACACACTGGGATTCGAACCCGAGACCTTCTCTCTGATACCATGTCAGAACTAACGAACGAGAATGAAATGCATTGAGCAGAATGTGGTACCGTATCGCCCCGGATATAACCGCAGGCCTATTAAAAGCGCATGCGCTTATATCTAAAGCAATGCGCTTATGGCCGATCCTCAATTAGAAGCGCACCCCTTATAAATTCGTTACTTCTTATAAGCGCACCCTTGTAATAAAAAAAAATACACTTTGAATATGTCATTCTCGTTAGAGCTAAAGCAAGGCTAGCCTTCAATAGGAAATTTTGCACTACCTAAAAGTTTCACATACAATAGGATGACTATTGTCCTAGCCTAAACACCATCTTGCCTAGTCTAGCCTTAGGCCTCCACTTCCTCCACGTCCGATTCAGGCTCCGTGGAGTTGTTGCCCCAGAATCCGTCTGCTTGGATGTCGTCGTCTACCTCTACCTCGTGGCTCAGCTGGCTTCTCTGGTGCGCCATCACCATATGGTCCTCGCTCCCGTCAAGGGCATTGCTGATGCCGCACGTGAGGAAGGATTTCTTAATCAGGTCGGCGGGCACGGCCTTCCACGCCCGTGAAATCCACTTGAGCACCACCTCCGGGGGTGGTTTCTTAATGTTCCCTGCACCACATGAAAGGGAGTGGGGACATTAGAACACAAGCAGGCAGACAACCACACGAAGGGGAGACGGGAGGACATGTCCTCGCTCACCTGCAGGTGTTAGGATGTTCATGCCGTCTGCCTCAAACCAGGACTGGTACTGCTGGCGAACACTTGCTTTGAAGCTCTTGTTCACCGACACATCGAGCAGCTGCACGTCTGCCGTGCATCCCGCCGGGATGACCGCCGGCACGATGTTGAGCGCCGCGAATCTCGCCTTGACTTCCTTGGTAAGGTGACCACGGTAGGAGTCGAGTACTAGCATGGCGCTCCGACTCTGCACGCCGAATTTGGGTTTCAGTAACGGCACCACGCCCTCATCGAGCCACTGGATGACGCCCGTGGCCTCCATCCACCCGTTCGCTTGGCAGCCGACCACGACATCTGCACACAAGCAAGCGGTGGTTAGTCTCTTTTTTTTTTTTTAACGTCCAAAACACGCACAAGAACATGTGCTTACCGTTCGGGAAGTCACCCTTAGGCAGTGTCTTGCGCTTGAAAAACACCCACGGCTTCAACTTCTCGCCCGTCGCCGTGCACGCCAGCATCACGGTGACTCTTTCTTTTTGGTAACCAGCGCTGCGGATAGGCACCGACTTCACGCCTGTCTGCTCCATGGTGGTAGTGGCTGGCATCTCCAACCAAAGAGGCGTTTGGTCAGCGTTGATTATGTATCGATTGTCGATCGCATACTCGTTGCGTGCGTCGCGGACGAACTGCCAAAATTCTTTGCACTGCGTCGCCACGTCTGCGCACGGGGAGGGAAGGACAGGTAGGAAGAAGGATGAGTACAACTCATAAACCATGCGAATTCGCTCGAGGTAAGCGGGAAACAAGGCACTTACACTCCTGCGTTTTTTGCGCCACCTTAGTTTTCATGCGCACGCTGAGGTTCCACCGCTTGCGGAACCGCTCCGACCACCGCTGACTCCCTTTCCACTTGACTTCCGGGAACAGCACCTTCATCACTTCGCGTGACCATTCTTGGAGCCGGCCGACTGAAACTGCAACACCGCGGCGTTGCCAGTCGAGGAGTTGAGCGTACACCTTTAACTCCATGGGTCTGTACCAAGAAGACCTCCCGCGCCCATGAAGTCGACACCGTGCGGCATGTGAAGCCTTGAGCTCCTCTGCTTGGCTTCTCCACTCCGTTAGGCATTTGCGGTGTATGCCGGACTCCCGCGCGACCTCGCTTATCGATGCCGCCAGCTCCAGCTGCACAAGCCACCTGAGTTTCTCCTGGGAGGTGTAGGCCTGCCGTTTATGTTGAGACGGCTTGTGCCTGGGAGAGAGGGGGCGGGCATCTCGGTTCTGGGAGGAGGGGTGGGGTTGTTTTTTGTTAATCGGCGGATACGTCGGTATCGGCATCTGCTCGCGTGGTGCGTCGCGCCACCATGACTCCACACCGTCGTCGTCCTCGGCACTTGCACCACGATCTAGGAACATGTCCTCCTCGGCGCCCGCTTCACCGTCGCCGTCACCGTCGCCGTCGCCGCTGTATTCTTTATTGGCGGCCACTTCATCGTCGGCGCCCACCTCCGACTCGTCCCACGTGCAGGCTTCGGGCTGTCCCCACCGTGGTGCAGGCGGCGGAGCCTGGATGAACACATCAGGGGCCTTGGGTGTGTCCGGTTCAGACAGCCACTCGTCGAAAGTGGCTGGTAAATACAGCTGGAGCACGGGCCGTTGATGAGCACTGGCACCGATATCAGGCGGATTTGGAGGAGCGGGAGGTGCGGGAGGAGCAGGAGGAGCAGGAGGTGCAGGAGGAGAAGGAGGAGCAGGGGGCGCTGGGGGTTCAGGTGGCACTGGAGGCGCTGCGGGCTCACGGGTATACCACCCGTCGTCGGTAAGTCGCCATGGGCGAGCTCTCTTGTTCTTGAAGAGGAAGTGCGTCCCGCTGAATTCCGCCATGGCTTCGCCAGCTAGGCGGCCTACACTGGAATCTGAATGAAAAAAATGAAAGAGACGGTGCACAAATGGGCAACGAAGGGGACCCCGTAAGGTTGGCGCCTCGGGGTCCTCGTCAATGACAGGCGGGAAACCCCTGCCTACCCCCGTAGAGGACCCTGCGTGGCAGCATAATCGCTGCGCTGGCAGGGAATATTCCCCACCCCTTGAGAGGGTTCGGAAGAAATGCACATGCCACGCAATGCATGCGACTGTGATTGGGCCGCACGGCAACATCCCCGTCACTGCTGTCACGATCGATGGTTCTAGACAAAACAGTGCGGTGGGAAACCGAACCGCTGCTGTTTTTGTCTGAAACCCATGCACGATCCCACATGTTGCATGGTCGGTTGAATTCGCCTTATTGCGGGCTTCAATTTGGTATGTTTAAAAGTGATTTTTTTTTTCCTATTACAAGCGCATGCGCTTATAAAAATGACTCGATTAGAAGCGCACCCCCCTAAAAAACACTGCTTTATTATAAGCGGACCTGCGCTTCTATCCGGGGTAATACGGTACAAGTACTAACCCTACGGTAATTGGGTTAGTACTTGTACTCACTTCCTGTTCATTTAATCATTCTCGTTCAGTATTATGACACGACCCGAATGTTGTTGCATATTCGGGTGACCCATCTTCAAATACACCTACCAGAGCAACTCCAGCTTGCTTCGCGCGCACATAAAAGTTCGGCGCCTGCGATGACGGCCGTGCCTGGCCACAAATGCTAAGGAAGCGCATGGATCCCTACAGGCGTAGGGAAGGGAAAAGCATCGAACGACCCGAATGTTGTTGCATATTCGGGTGGCCCATGTTCAAATACACCTACACAACACCTCCTGCATTCAAAGCCAAATTCCCGGAAGGATGAATTGTGGAGCCAAAGTTTTATACGCCCTGCAATGTGTTCTGTTCCTTGGAGTTATCTCATGAGCATCCAATGCGCAATACAAAACGCCTCACAAAATGAAAATATATCCGAGTTCCCAGATCTTGTGGAAGAAGCCACGAGATGCTTCGAACGTATATTCGAGTCCTCACTAAAGTGAGATGAAGAGGATGCTGCATTGAGCTGATTCATATTGAGAAAACGCATCACCAACCCCGTCTCAGCTGATGGGAGACTGCCTGCCTAGGCGATGCGTTCAGGAATGCGTTGACGCTGCCTGCCTATGCGATGCGTCGAGGATTCCTGCCTAGGCGATGCGTTGAGAAATGAGACCTCGATGTCTTGGGTGCAAGTGCTGTGTGAATGGTGAGAGCTGAGGAACGGGTGTGGAGTCACTTAAAGCCCCACACCTCCACCTGTGCCACCTCAAACTCCTCCGAACTGGGAGGGCAGCACAGCGAGGCAAGCAGGGCGCAGGCAAGCAGAGAGCCATGGGGAAAGGGGGACATGGAAAGGTTATGACAGGCATAAGAAGCGTGAGGTGTGAAGCATGGAAAATGGTGCAGCAAGTTACATGAAGTGTGAAGACTACAGATGCTGAAATGCATGGCAAGGCAGTACCTGGCAAGGATGGCGCTGCCAAAGGTGTCACACGGCGCACTGGCGCCTGTGAGGAGGTCAGCGTAGAGCAGCAGGCTGTGGTGGTTGCTGTACATGGCGCAGTGTGGGGCATGGTGGTGTGGGGTATGGGCCACGTGTGGCGAACAGGATATGTTTGGGGTACAGGGCATAGAGAGGCAAACAGAAGGGCGCAGATGAGAATGCGGCAAAGGCAGGTGAGTCAGGGGTAGCAACACGTGCCAAAGGCTTGCTATAAAAGCAAACTAAAGTATCTTGGGAGCAGTACGGCCGGATCGACCTGGAATGCAGCATAGTCTCCGTAAGAATCTCCCATCCCCCCTCCCTCCCACTCACCCGCCCCCCACGGCGAGCATGGCATTGCTGGAGAGCATGAAGTAGCTGTTGGTGCGCGCCCACCTGTACGCCACACACTCCGGCTGCACCTGGTGGGGGGAAGAGGGAGGGGCGGGGTTGGGAAGTGGCGGAGAGCGTGAGGGAAAGAAATGAGGAGAGTGGGAGGGTATAGTGGGAGCTGGCAGAGAGGTCTTGGAGCAGAGCACGAGAGCAGACAGGTGGAGGTAGGGAAGGGGGAACGGCATCCAGGGCACGAGGGTCGAATGGGGAAGAAATGGGAGCGTACCTGGAAGACGAAGCACTCCCCGTTGCCGTAGTAGCGGTCCATGGGGCGCCACTCCTCGTTGGTGAAACACCCAAACATCTGCTCTCATGCATGCATGCATGCACGCACACACACACACACACGCACACATGTGCACACGTGCACACATGAACACATCAACATACGCACACAAGACATGGGGAGATCGGGGCATGGTGCCAGCATAGGATTGTGGCAACCTAGATTTGTAACTTTGGCATGAGTTTGTGAACCAGGCACGGTTTGTAACTTGGGCATTGGTTTGTGAATCGGGCATTGTTATGGTAGTTTGGGGATGGGGTTTGGTAGTTGGAGCAAGGTGTTTGGAGGCTTGGCTGAGCCATGGTGCAGTTCTCCACTCACGTATTTATTTGAGTCACGCACGACCAGCAGACATGCGCCCTTGCCCTTGATCTTCCGAAACAGTGTTGCCATACTGCACCATGCACACACACAACAAGGCACAAGACATGAGACATGGAGACAAGCGGCAGAAGATAGAGGAATAGAATTGAGTACGTGGAGAGCCATGGAGGATGACGAATAGGTGTTCATATTTAACAGACGGGACGCACGGTGGTATGAGGCCTCATTTGGAAACCTTTGATATAATCACCTGAAGCCAACTAGACCAGAACCTGACGGCACCTTTGTATTCACCTGATGCCATCCCTGGCAGTGGAGTAGAGCAATCTCCAGGGGGACGTGCGCAGGCGAGCAGGCAGAGTCACCGCCAGCTGAGATGCGTGGGAGGGAAGTGGGGGGTGGGAGAATGGGGGTGGGATGGGCATGAGGTATGGAGGGAACAAGGGTAGGCACAAGCAGAGGAGATGGATTGAGGGGATTGGGAGACACTGTCATGACGTATGGGGCCCGATTTAACCAAGCGCAGCGCACTGCTTCACTCACCGCCATGAAGTTTTGTGGTGACAGCAGCAGCGACTCCCCTATTCTCTTGGGCAGGTAGTGCCCTCTGATCACCGCTGATCCCCACCGTATCGCACTCCCCTGCCCCTCCCCTTCTTGCCCCTCCTTCCCCGCGCTCTCGTCCCCTTTCCCCCCTCCCCTGTCGCTCTTCTGTGCTTCTAACGGGAAGGACGGCTGGTAGCCCTTGTTCTCGGGCACTGTTCCTCCGTTCGCTACAATCACGGCCAGCGAGGCGTCCAGCAGCACAGCGGGGGAGACAACCACCTGCTGCCACGTGGCGAGCTTCTGGTGCACGAGGGCCAGGCTGCGCTGAAGGAGAGGGGGGACGGCGGGAGTAGGGGGAAGGAGGGGGAACGGGGGACTTGGTTGGGGGCGGGAAAACAGAGAACAGCTTCTGGTGCACCAGGGCCAGGCTGCGCTGAAGGCGAGGGGGGACGGCGGGAGTGGTGGGGAGAAACGGGGTGGTGGGCATGGTTGGGGGACGGGGACATGGTTGTGGGTGGGGGGAATGGTTGGGGGTTAGAGAATGGGTGGGGTTGGGGGACCAGGTTGGGGGCGTGAAACTGAGCGCATGTTTGTTTGGGGCTGTGTTGCGAGGGCAGCTCTCACGACACAGCCACATCTCTCCTCCTCTCCTCTCAGCAAACCCCCCAGTCCAGACTGCTGCAATTCATGGCGAGTACTCTGCAACCCCGCACTCCGCCCCCCTCAGCGCGCCACCCCTCTGCGCGTCTCTCCGCGCGCGTCTCACCCTGCGGCGTTGCAGGCGAACTGGAGGGTCTGCGCGGGCGCGCTGGCGAGGGAGGGGTTGCGGAAGAGGATCTCCCACTTCTCCATGCGCGCCACCAGCGCCTCTAACTCCCGCCGCGCCTCCTCCTCCTTCCGCGCCGCCTCCTCCTTCACCTGCCGCTCCTCCTCCTTGGCCCGCCTCGCCCTCTCCCGCTCGTCCAACACTTCCTCCCTTCTCTCCTCTACGCGAATTTCTTCGCTCGCTCCTTCTCCTTGCTTCGCTTCTCCCGCTTTCGTCTCCCCTTCCCCGCTTTCATCTGTAACGATCGTAACCTCCTCTACGCCTTCTGTGCTTCTCCCTTCCGCCCCCTCTCTCGATGCGTCCTCGCTTTCTGTCTGACCAACCTTCCCCTCCGTTGGTGCTTCCCCTCCTTCGGCCACCGCCCCCCCAACTACTCCATTCTCCTTCCCTGCTTCCCCCTCCCCCTCCCCTTTTTCCGCAGCTCCCTCTTCTGGTTTCGGCACGCCCGGAATCGGCAACCCCGTCGGTTTGTGTTCCTTCACCCACTGCCACGTGGCAGTCAGTGACTCGCCGATGGCGGCTGCGAGCGACGCCTGCAGCTTCGGCCAGTTCTCCTCGAGCTTGTCTTTAATCGCCACCGCGTTGCCGCGAATCTTTGCTGACGTGGACGCGATGTACGAGCGCGCGGAGGCGTCGGGCTCGGAGAAGGCTTTGATTCGTCGCATGCCGACGAAGTGGCTGTAGGAGAAGGCGCAGCTGCGGATGCCGAAGTCGAGCATGAAGGGATTGTCGCCCAGCGTCGCCTCCAGCTGATTTCGCGTCGCAGGAGAGGTGGGACGATGGCAAGGGTTGCGGGAGGGAATCGAAAAGAAACCAAATTAACACTTATGAGAGATGACCAGGAAATTTGTGAAGAATGGGGACCGAACGGAACGGGACGCAACGGGATGCCAGGGCGAGAATCCGATGCGATTCGATGCGACGACAAGCGGCGGATGCGCAAGCGGAGGGGAGCAAGCATGGAGCAGCGCGGCGTACCAGATCCCGTCCGACCGGGACGATGAGTCGCGGCGGCGAGTCGTCGTCGTCGTCGCCCTCCTCCTTGCCGCTCGCGTCGCGCGCTAGCGGCTGCTGCTTCAGCTCCGGGTACTTGGCCTCCAGCTCCCGTCGCTCACGGTCGCCCACGATGGTCAGCATCATTCGCACGCGCTCCACTTCCTCCGCGCTCAGCACTCTCTCTCCTCCGGGCTTCGCCTCCATTTCGTCGTCCGACTTGTCGTCGAAATCGCTCGCCTCCGTCGGCTGCTTCTCCGTCGTCAGCTGCGACGTCGCCTGCGAGTCGCCGTCGCCGTCGCCGTCGCCGTCGCCGTCGCCATCGTCGTCGTCCGTCGCAGACGCGCCTTGCCCGTCGACCTTATCCGACAGCGATATCGTCTCCATATGAAACTCTTCGTTCGCGCCGGCACTACCCGTCGCGCTGGGCTGTGCTGTCACGGTCTCAGTCGATTCATCCATGGCTGCACCCAGTGCGATGCGCGCAAGCCCGTGAATGATCTGCTCTCTCAAATCCACCGCCCGAGGCAAAATGCGGAGATGTTTCGGACTGGAGGAGCTAATGGTTTTGACGCGCTGTTGAGCTCGTCACTGAGCGCTGCGTGTTGTGAACTGATGGGTGACTGGATAATTTCCAGTTTATGACTGGAATGCCATTTCCATCCGTGGACTGGTTGAGATTCTTGAAAATACCTTCCCTGGGAGTGCCTCCTTGAAATTGCCGAAAACGGTCACCCGATGATCCATCATCCATCCATCCATCCCGCCTTTGGGATTTGTTTGCGGATTGTCGCCTGCTGCTGAGTGAGTGCGGGGATTCGCATCACGCGCGCGCGGGAAGAACCTCTCTCCCGCTACAGGCGGAAGGGTGGCGGAACTGGAGGGGTTTGAGGGGTGGGGGAAACCCGTGCGGTGCCTGTCGGTGCTCTGTTTGGTGCTGACACCATAAACACCGCCGCAATATCGAATGTGCTGAAATAGGGGAAACCGAAACTGTAAAATGGATTTACGGATGTATCAGAACTCGGTTTCACTTAGCCATTTCCGGATTTCCATCTACGGAAAATCTCAGCTTAGCATAGAACGAATTTCTTTGTGTATTACGAAATTGAAACAGTCCCCTGCCAATTCCAAAGGCGCCAAGTGACAGTATTGCTTCAGTCTGACACCATTCCATCCAGGCATCCCTGCATCAGAATCTCTCTCTCCCTCAATCTCGTTCCGCAACAACACCTTCGCCGCTAGCATGGTCGTTAGTGTCTCAAGGTCGACCGCGATCCATGGCACGCGACGCATTGACTGAATGAGAGGAATGCGAAGATCGTTCGGTCTGTTATATTTGCCAACGATTTCATGGAGTCGCCGAGCTTGTCGCCTCGCTGGCGCGTCATCAGTCGCGCTGAGTCCCTCATATCGTCCCTCCGCCGTGTCGCGTCGAATGTAACGTTCAGCTGGGTGAATCCCCTGGTCGCGCTTGGCGCTCGACGCCAGCTGTCGCCGGGAGATTTGCTGCCTCTGCCTGCTGACGTGGAGCCACGTGTGTGCGGTCAGCTCCTTTGGACGAAATGGGAGGAGGAACGAGCAGCAGGCGACGACGCCGCATTTAGCAAATCACGCAGCGACGGACAGACGAATGGCGTGTGGGGGGAACCGTCTCAGTCCGACGGAGATTCGCTCATGGGAGGGCCATCGTCGCGTGAACGGCTCAGGCGCAGCGCGCAGCGAGGCGCGCCGTCGCTGCTGCGATGCATGGTGGCCATTTTTGGCGCGGAGTACCTCATGATCGGCGGGATCAAGGTAAGGACACCCAGGGTGGTCCGCGCCAGATGAGGGTGGTAATACATGGAAACAGGACAACGATATTTTACGGCAAACGTGCGCTGTCTCTTTCCCACCGCCATGCTCGTCCTCCTTCCCTACACTCCACGGCCTTCTCATCCATCCCCCACCCGCCTCGCTCCTTTACTGCACTCCCCATCGCCCTCATGCGTCAGCTGGTGAACGATGCGCTGGCCTTTGCGGGGCCGCTGCTGCTGCACCAACTCGTCACTGTGCTCGACGGTGGCACCCCTGCCGTCGCGCTGCACCGCGCGCCTCCGGCCCCCGCCACCTATGGTACTCACACATTCGCTTCACCTCCCACCTCCCGCCTCCCTGCTCCCCTGTGCGCACCTCGCGGTGATTGCTGCTCGGTTTGCACTCGCCCCTCCCTCCCGCCTCACATCGCCCACCCGCCACTTGACTCCATGAACGCTATCATTTGCCACTTCACTCACTCACTGTGCATCTCACTGATACAGTCCGTTCAACGCCTCCTCCTGCCTGCCTGCCTGCCCCTCTCCTCTCCTCCATCATCCATGCGCCGTCCCACCCTCCGTGTTGCCAGGCGCGCCCCCCACGCCGTGGTGGGACGGGCTTGCATGCGCGCTCGCCATCGGTGCCACGTCCGCCCTCAGGTCCGTGGGAGGGGTGCTTAGCATGAGGAGGGTGCCCAACCACTGCTCGCTCTCATGCACGCCCATGGCGCACCTTGTTTCAGGCTCCTCATTGGCTCCGATACCTCTTGTTCCTCCCCTCCCTGGCACTCCCTGCTCACCCCAGGGCATTCCTAGGAGCGCACTACTCGTACCGCCTGGCGCGCATGGGACTCAAGCTGCGCGCTGCCATCGCCACCTGCGTCTTCGCCAAGGTGCCCCTCCCTCCCTCCCTCCCTCCCATCTCTCCAGCGCTTCATTCCTTCAGTGATTCCACGACCACCACTGCCGTGCCTTGTCCTACATGCCATGAAGGCCCATGCTCCTGAATTCACGCTCTGTTGTGGTTGCTGTCGGTGCCACTCATTCCCCCACCCTCCCCATTGGTGCTGTCAATGACCTATACTGAGTCCGCCTAAAAGTTGGCGCTACTCATTCCCTCCTCCGCCCCCTCTCCCAGGTGCTGGCAGTGAGTGCGGCACAGAGGGGGTCGTTTGAGGGAGGCGAGGTGCAGACGCTCATGAGTGTGGATGCAGATAGGCTTGTCAACCTCGTCATGTCGCTGCACGACCTCTGGGGGTGAGGCACTAATCTCTTCTTGTGTTATTCTTTGCTTTATGCTCACTGACCGTAAAGAAGTCTGAGAGCGCTGGTAATTCAGCCTAACACAAATGAACAATAAAGGGCCTGGTCCGATTTCTTTGCCATCGTCCCTTATGGCTTCCCCCATTTCCTTTCGCCACATGTCCCTTTCTCACAGTCTGCCTCTGCAGATCCTTGTGGCGCTGCTGCTGCTCTACTGGCAGGTATTCTATGCACCACACCACACTCTGTGTGCCATGCCGGCATGCCACACTGCACATACATACTGACTAATACTACCACTGCACATACATACTGACTAATACTACCACTGCACATACATACTGACTAATACTACCACTGCACCCGTTTCACTTCCTTGTGTGCGTGTCTCACTCTGTGATATCTGCCAGTCTGCCACCACCAGTTCTCCTTGTGGTGCCATGCCACCCTCTCACCATCCTTCACTGAACCTCCCACACCCCCCCTCTCACTGCGCCCTCCTCCTCTTCCCATTGGTCGCCCTGCAGGTGAGCTACGCCTTCCTGGCTGGCCTCGCTGTTGTGCTCCTCCTCATCCCAGGTGCTCGCGCCTTCACCTCTCTCTACTTTCCTTGTTGCTGCATGCACATGGCACGTGCTATTTCACGCCATGCTATGCCATGCACACAGGACATCATGTTGCTATGCCATGCACACAGGACATCATGTTGCTATGCCATGCACACAGGACATCATGTTGCTATGCCCTTTCACACCCTTTTGTCGCCTGCTGCCCCAAAAGTGCCTTCTTTTCCCCCTCGTTCCGCTCGTACATAGGAGGCCATGCGCTGTGCCAGGCCGTGCCACGCCACATTTGACATGCTCCTTGTCTGCTTGCCTTGAGCCGTGCGTCATGTAAATGGGCATTCTGCATGTGCATGCGTGACATGTGCCATCTGCTGTGCCTTATCTCATGCGTCATGTACCATGCGCATGTGCATGTGCCGTGTGCCATGTGCTGTGGTGAGTGCAGTGAACCGGTGGCTGGCGGGGCGGATAGGAGAGGCGAGCAAGCAGATGATGGCGAGCAAGGATGCCAGGTGAGGGACAGTCTGAGAGAGACGGTCACACATAGAGGGGGGCTGGGACTGCCATGCTCAGCATGCAACCGTGAACCCTCACACTGCTCTTAATCTCTCTCCTGCCGCCACACCATGTGACACCGCACTCACCCTGCCACGTCAACCTGCCACATCACTCTGCCACGTCATCAGGGTGCAGGCGATGCAGGAGCTATTGGACCACGTGGCAGCAGTGCGCGCCATGGCCATGGAGGGCGCCCTGCTCTCCCGCATCAACGATGCTCGCCACCTCGAGCTCTCCGCCCTCGCAGTACGTGTGTGTCTGTGAGCTGGGCTGGGTTGGTTTAGGTTGGGTTGGGCGAGCAGCAGGTTTGTGGCATGGCATGTGAAAGGCCGCCCTGCTCTCCCGCATCAACGCTGCTCGCCACCTCGAGCTCTCTGCTCTCGCGGTATGTGTGTGTCTGTGTGCTGGGCTGGGCTGGGCTGGGCTGGGCTGGGTGGGGAGGGGAGGGGTGGGACGGGGTGGGGTGGCTGGGGGCAGGGTGGGGCAGGGCCGGGTGCGCCCACTACTCCCACTACCCCTCCCCAGACCCCACCACTTGCATGCATCAAGTGATCAAGTACTTGATCAAGTGGCATGCACTCCAAGGCGTCTCATACCTACGCTGCACGCATGGGGCATGCACTCCAAGGCGTCTCATACCTACGCTGCACGCTCCTTACCCGTGTGCCCCCCCCCCCCCCCACCGTTGCACCCCTCAGGTGCGCAAGTACCTGGACGCGTGGTGTGTGTACTTCTGGGCCTGCACGCCTGTGCTCTTCTCCCTCGCCACCTTCTCCTCTCTGCTGCTCCTCGGCCGCTCCCTCAATGCCCCCGTGGTAAGCCGTTCGTTTTCCCCCAATGCCCCCGGGGTATGCTTATTCTATTGTTTTCCCTCTCTTTTTCACTCTCTCTTCTCTCACTCACCCTGCTGTTTCTCATGTTGCTGGTTTCTGAGTCGACCAGAAAATCGCTTTCGGTCTAAACTAAACAATTTGAGTCAACTCAACAACGCCCTCCCTCCCTCATCCCTAACCCCTCACCCCACCCCACAGGTGTTCACGAGTCTAGCGCTCTTCAACGTGCTGCTGGGGCCGCTCAACTCGTTCCCCTGGGTCATCAACGGCATTGTCGAGGTAAGAATTGAGCCAAGGTCTCAGTATGCCATACCCTCTCATTGTCCAGGTGCCTCGTTTTGAGACCTCTCAAAGCTCTTCGACGTGCTACTGGGGCCGCTCAACTCGTTCGCCCGGGTAACCAAAGGCATTGTCGAGGTAAGAATTGCGCCAAGGTACTTGTCTCTCGCTCTCATTGTCGCCATGCGTTTGCTCGTGCGGTGCAGCTTATGAGCGTGCGGTGCAGCGTATGAGCGGGCGGTGCAGCGTATGAGGGGGCGGTGCAGCGTATGAGCGTGCGGTGCAGCGTATGGGCGTGTGGTGCAGTGCGGTGCAGTGCGGTGCAGTGTCGAGCTGCCTCCTCTGCCCAGCAGGTGCAGGCTCATGTGTGCGTCCGTCGCACAGATACAGATGTGTGCTGCCCTCGATCCCCCCTGCATCATATCACCAACACGCACACACACACGTTCTTTCATGCCTTTCCCCCACGCTCCCTAAGCCTTTCTCATCTCTCATCACTCTCTGTGCCACTCCCATCACCCCTCACCCCTCATCCCGATGCCATTCCCATCACTCCCATCACCCTCAGGCGCTCATCTCTGTGAGGCGCCTGGAGGCGTTTCTCTGCATCCCCACGCCACCCACTGCTGCCCCCCTCGTCTCTGCCTTCACCACCCCCCCCACCGCCTCATCCCCTCCCACGGCTCCTGTTCCCACCACTCCACCTGCAGCCTGCAGCAGCACCACCGGGCATCACAGCAGCACTCTTCTGTACTCGCTCGTCCCCTTTCTCCTCCGCCTCCCCTCCTCGCCCCTGCCCCGCCACGTTTCCCCCCCCCCCTCGCCTCTCACAGCCCCCCTGCTGGGCCCCGCCCCTTTCCTGGTGAATCAAGACAGAGACTCACAGGCGTCTGATTGCGCGGCTGATGGTGACACAGGTGGTGCTGCAGGCGGTGCAGTAGGGGTTGCTGCAGAGGGTGCCACGAGCAGCAGTCAGGGCCTTCCACTCCGCCTTCCTGCCGCAAATGACACCTGTGCAGGTGCAGCCAGTCCGTCCCCGCCATTAGCAGTGCACATGTGCGGGCTCAGCTTCTCCTGGCATGCTCCCACATGCGCCACCAGCAAGGCTCCCAGCACGCCGACTGGGGAAAGTGTGGAAGAGGGCGGTGCAGCTGTGCAGGAGGGTAGTGGAAGCAGGTCCACAAGAGAGAACTGCAGGGGGGGCAGTGGAGGCAGCGGTATTGCGCTGCACAGCATACAATTGGACGTGCCCGAGGGGGCTGTGGTGGCCATCGTCGGCAAGGTGACCCCTTCCCCCATGCCCTCATCATTCCATGGTGTGTTGTGCGATGCTCACAGCAGCTGTACTGCTTCACGAGCCCTGCTACTGACCATGCCTGCTGTGCCATAAGCTTCCCCTCTTCCTGCATGTCACCATGCTCATCTCCACTCCGCCATCTCGCCCTCCCTCCTCTCCCTCCTCTCCCTCCTCTCCCTCCTCTCCCTCCTCTCCCTCTTCTCCCTCCTCTCTCTCCTCTCCCTCCTCTCCCTCCTCTCCCTCCTCTCCCTCCTCTCCCTCCTCTCCCTCCTCTCCCTCCTCTCCCTCCTCTCCCTCCCCTCCCTCCTCTCCCTCCTCTGCCTCCTCTCCCTCCTCTCCCTCCTCTGCCTCCTCTCCCTCCTCTCCCTCCTCTCCCTCCTCCCATACTCCTCTACCTACACGCTTGCAGGTGGGCAGCGGCAAGTCATCACTGCTCGCTGCGATACTAGGCGAGATGCAACCTGTACCAACGCACGCCATGCCGTGCACACATGCACATGCAGCGGCAGCGTGTGGCAATGCACATGCACCTGCCATGCATCGCTCGCTCCGCTCCGCTGCTGTCCTGCAGGTGCGTGCACTTTGCGTGTTGCGTGCACTTTGCGTGTTGCGTGAACTTTGCGTGTTGCGTGCACTTTGCGTGTTGCGTGCACTTTGCGTGTTGCGTGCACTTTGCGTGTTGCGTGCACTTTGCGTGTTGCGTGCACTTTGCGTGTTGCGTGCACTTTGCGTGTTGCTTGCTCCACACCCACCACTGTCATGCACATGTGCGTGCTGTCTCGCCCCGCCCGTCTCACCTGCCCCCTGCTTCTCTTCCCCTGCCCTGCACACAGGAGCCGTGGGTGTTTGCAGGCAGCATCCGAGAGAACGTGCTGCTCGGGGCGCCATGGGAACCCATCAGGTGGGGCTGGGGACAGATGGGGCGAGGAGGGGGAGGGAGGGAATGAAAGGGAGGGTGTGGTGCTGTGGCAATGCATGATGCTGCCTTGGCACGTCCTTTCGTGGACAGTGCATGGTGCCTAAGTGTAGTATGGAGAGCGCGTGGCATGTGCATGGGTGAAGATGAGTCACTGCTGCATCATGCTATCGAGCCACCATGCATTACACTAGCAGACCACCATGTCATGTCACCATGCGTCCCACCCCACAGGTACCAGCAGGTGATCCACGCATGCGCACTGCACGAGGACACAGCAGCTATGGCAGGGGATGACGAGTCACAACATCCCACACCCCTTGTACCGCAGGTACAGCAGGCATGGCAAGGGGCGATCAGTCACTGCTGCATCACACCCATCCATCCCATCACCATGTCATCACGACACATACACCCCTCCTACCGCAGGTACCAGCAGGTGATGCACGCCTGTGCACTGCACGAGGACACGGCAGCCATGGCAGGGGGCGACGAGGCCCGGGTGGCGGACAGAGGGCTCACACTCTCCGGGGGCCAGCGCGCCCGCCTTGCCCTCGCCAGGTGCGTGCTGAAACGCATCAGTTGTCTTGTTTGACACGTCTCAAAACTCCTCACATGCACAACATGTCCTTGTGTATCACCGCATGTCCGTGAGTCCCTCCATCCTTCTCCTCCCCGTTTCCCCCACACACACATCAACACCCCACCCATCAGAGCGCTCTACTCCGATGCCACCCTGCTGCTGCTCGCTGCTGCTGGACGACCCATCAGAGCACTCCACTCTCAGCGCTGCTTTTGAATCTATTCACAAATCACGTGTGTATCCCTCCCCCCCCCCCCCCCCCCCCACTCATCAACACCCCCCATCAGAGCGCTCTACTCCGATGCCACGCTGCTGCTGCTCGATGACCCGCTGTCAGCACTGGATGCCCGCGTGGCACGCCACGTCAGCGACGCCGCCCTGTTCGGGCCAATCGCCAGAGGCCGCACCATCCTGCTCTGCACCCACTCGCCCCCAGTACTCCCACTCGCCCTCCCTCCCTCCTGTTCACAACCCCTGTGAAGCTGCTAGGCTGCTAGGCTGCTAGGCGTCTAGGCTGCTAGGCTTCTAGGCTGCTAGGCTGCTAGGCTGCTAGGCTGCTAGGCTGCTAGGCTGCTAGGCTGCTAATAGCCCCACCTCTAATAGCCCCACCTCTAAGAGCCCCACCTCTAATAGCCCCACCTCTAATAGCCCCACTTCTAATAGCCCCACCTCTAATAGCCCCACACCTCTAATAGCCCCACACCTCTAATTGCTGCTAGGCTGCTAGGCTGCTAGGCTGTGGGTCTCTACATAGCCCTGCTAGTGCTACGCTGCTTTATGCCATTCAACTCCATCTGCTCCTACCTCCCTCAATCTTCCACTTGACACCCTACCTTCCTTGGACCTCCCACCCTTCCACCTCCCATCCCTCCACCTCCCATCCTTCCACGCCTCCCAACTTTTCAGCTCCCAACCCTTGTTCACAGCCCCTGTTCACAACCCTTGTTCACAGCCCCTGTTCACAACCCTTGTTCACAGCCCCTCTTCACAACCCTTGTTCACAGTCCCTGTTCACAACCCTTGTTCACAGCCCCTGTAAACAGCCCCCTTGTTCACGTTCTGTGGGTCTGTGGGGCAGCACATAGACCTGTTAACAGCCCCTGTGAACAGCCCCCTGCAAGTGCGCTTGCACCCGACCCCTGCTTCTCCCATGCCTCACTCGTCCACCTGTGTGTCTGCGTGCTGGCAGGCAGCGATCATCACTGGTGGTGGCGATGCAGCATGGGAGGATCGTGCACGCGGCACTGCTGTCCACGCGGCACCCCCTCTTGCTACTCACTTTCACGCCCCTCCACCCCTCTTGCCACTCACATGCTGGCAGGCGATGCAGCGATCATCGCTGGTGGTGGCCATGCAGCACGGCAGGATCGTGCACGTAGCACCTCCTGCTGCCCTCGTGCCCGAACTCATGCTTGGGGATGCAGGCGTGGATGAAGGCGCATGCATGGGTGATGCTGATAAAAGCATGCATGATGGCTCACGCATTGATGCAGTCACACGCGGTCTGCTGGTGAAGCTGCTGGGGGAGCAGCAAGGGGAGCGGGATGGGGAGAAAGGAGGGAAGGAGGGCGAAAGCAGTTCACTCAAGGGGTCGGGGCGTGGGGAAGGAAAAGAGATTGCAGAGAACGTGGCGGCTGGGGAAGCTGCTGGGGAACTAGGGGGCTTGTCCACCATGGAAGGCTGTGGTGTGAGTGGTGCCGCTGCTTGCACTACTGGTGCTGCCAGTGAGGAGAGCAGGCAGGAGGGCGGGGCCCCACGTCCCGACAACCCAGACATGAAAGGCCGGGGCTGCAGCAGCGGGGGGAAGGGCGAAAAGGCGGGTGCAGCGTTGGAGGAGGAGGAGAGGAGGGAGGCGGGATCGGTGCGGCTCTCCGTGTACCGGTGCGTGCTGATGCTCTCAACCCTCTCTGCCGCCCCTCCCAGTGGCGCATGCAAATGCTCTCAACTCAACCCCTCCTGCCATCAACTCAAGCAGCCGCCCCTTCCCTCTTGTCGCCTTCCCCTCCTTCCCCCATTTTGTGTCACTCCCATCACAGGAGGTACTGTGCGGCGGTGGGGTGGCCGCTGCTGGCACTCGTGCTGGCGAGCCTGGCGCTCATGCAGGGCTCGCGCAACGCTGCCGACGTCACGCTCTCCCTCTGGACCGATGCGGTGCAGCACGGTGAGCAGCAGTGCAGCTGTCATTGGTGTTAAGGTGCTAGCTCATCGTGTTGTGCGTGTGCTGCTTGGAGCCACTGCTTGGGGCCATGAGGATTGCATCTCCCTTCCCATCTCTGCCTTCCCTCCCTGCCCACTTTCCCCTGCCCCCACTCCTGCGCCCTCTCTCCCCTCCCCTCCCAGCCCCAGACTCAGAGGCAGCAACCAACGCATTCTACCTGCGGCTATTCACCTTCATCGCACTCCTCAACTCACTTCTCACACTCCTCCGCGCCTTCTCCTTCGCACGTGCCGGCATGACGGCAGCCCACCGCGTGCATCACGAGCTGCTCGCTGCTGTTGTGCGCACGCCCCTTGCTTTCTTTGATACCAACCCCTCTGGGCGCATCCTCAACAGGTGAGCGTGCGTGTGGTGCTAGTGAAACGTCACCGCGGGGGCCAGCATGACAGCAGCCCACCGCGTGCATCACGAGCTGCTGTTGTGCGTGCGCCCCTTGCATTCTTCCATGTCAACCCTCTGGGCGCATCCTCTACCGGTGCGTGGGTGGTGCTAGGGGACTGGTGAATGAGGGTGCAAGCTGCTCACGACCCTGCCCGCCCCAACCTGCACACATCTCTCTTCCTTACACTCCCTCCTCACTCACACCCTTCCCAGCCGTGCCTTCCCAGGTTCTCCTCGAATCTGTACACGGTGAACAACTGCTGAAGCATCAGATTTTTCCACCCCCTATCCCACCCCACTCCACCCCACCCCACCCCACCCCATTCCTCCCCACCCTACCCCTCCCCACTCTTCCCTCCTCACTCCCACCGCCCCCAACCGCACTGCACCAGGTTCTCCTCGGATCTGTACACAGTGGACGACTCGCTGCCATTCATTGCCAACATCCTCCTCGCCAACTCCTTCAGCCTCGCTGGCATCGCCGCTCTGCTGCTGTACACGCAGGTGGGAGGGCGCAGACATGCGCTGAGAGGACACACAAGCATGCTGATGACGGCGCAGCAACGCCCTGACGCACATGATTCTGTTTCACTGTACTTGAATGGCCTCGCATCAACTTAGAGAAGCTCATGCCAGCTCGCTCCACCGTTGCAGTTTTGGCATTTCTGGTTCTCCAACCCCACTTGTGCTCTCTCGTCGCAACCCACCCCTTCCTATTCGTTTCTCATGTACCTCACTCCTTCTTACTCCCTCCCTCCCTCTTTCCACCTCCCTCCTACCTCCAGTGGACGTTTCTGCTTCTCCTGCTGCCTCTCACCTACATCTACTCCATCATCCAGGTAAGCCCATTCCGGCCCAACCAACACACCATCCATGTCATCCACCCTCATTTCTACCTCGCATATTGCAATACCCCTATTGTGCCAACCTCACACCTCTACTCCCCCCTCCTTTCTCACCATCTCCACCACCACCCACTTAATCCTTCAGCTGCGCCCAACCCCCTCATTACCCCACTTAATCTCTCTCCTCAATCACTCACCACTGCCGTGTTCTCCTCCCCCCTCGCCCGTCTCTCCCTCCTTTCTTGCGCAGCATCTCTACCGCCAGTCATCGCGGGAGCTGCGCCAGCTGGACAGTGCAGCGCGCTCGCCCATGTACGCTGCCTTCTCCCAGCTGCTGCACGGCGCCCCCACCATCCGCGCCTTCCATGCCCAGGTGAGTGGGTGTGTCTGCTCCGCCCAGGCAGACCAGTGCTGCCAGCTCGCCCGTGTATGCTGCTAGCTCGCCCGTGTATGCTGCCAGCTCGCCCGTGTATGCTGCCAGCTCGCCCGTGTATGCTGCCAGCTCGCCCGTGTATGCTGCCAGCTCGCCCGTGTATGCTGCCAGCTCGCCCGTGTATGCTGCCAGCTCGCCCGTGTATGCTGCCAGCTCGCCCGTGTATGCTGCCAGCTCGCCCGTGTATGCTGCCAGCTCGCCCGTGTATGCTGCCAGCTCGCCCGTGTATGCTGCCAGCTCGCCCGTGTATGCTGCCAGCTCGCCCGTGTATGCTGCCAGCTCGCCCGTGTATGCTGCCAGCTCGCCCGTGTATGCTGCCAGCTCGCCCGTGTATGCTGCCAGCTCGCCCGTGTATGCTGCCAGCTCGCCCGTGTATGCTGCCAGCTCGCCCGTGTATGCTGCCAGCTCGCCCGTGTATGCTGCCAGCTCGCCCGTGTATGCTGCCAGCTCGCCCGTGTATGCTGCCAGCTCGCCCGTGTATGCTGCCAGCTCGCCCGTGTATGCTGCCAGCTCGCCCGTGTATGCTGCCAGCTCGCCCGTGTATGCTGCCAGCTCGCCCGTGTATGCTGCCAGCTCGCCCGTGTATGCTGCCAGCTCGCCCGTGTATGCTGCCAGCTCGCCCGTGTATGCTGCCAGCTCGCCCGTGTATGCTGCCAGCTCGCCCGTGTATGCTGCCAGCTCGCCCGTGTATGCTGCCAGCTCGCCCGTGTATGCTGCCAGCTCGCCCGTGTATGCTGCCAGCTCGCCCGTGTATGCTGCCAGCTCGCCCGTGTATGCTGCCAGCTCGCCCGTGTATGCTGCCAGCTCGCCCGTGTATGCTGCCAGCTCGCCCGTGTATGCTGCCAGCTCGCCCGTGTATGCTGCCAGCTCGCCCGTGTATGCTGCCAGCTCGCCCGTGTATGCTGCCAGCTCGCCCGTGTATGCTGCCAGCTCGCCCGTGTATGCTGCCAGCTCGCCCGTGTATGCTGCCAGCTCGCCCGTGTATGCTGCCAGCTCGCCCGTGTATGCTGCGTTCTCGCAGCTGCTGCACGGCGCCGCCACCATCCGCGCCTTCCACGCGGATGGGTCTGCTCCCCTCGGATGAACAACCCCCCGGATGAACAACCCCTTGGACTAACGACGACCCCCCCGGATTAACGACGACCCCCCCGGATTAACAACGACCCCCCCCGGATTAACGACGACCCCCCCGGACTGTTGACGACCCCCCCGGATTAACGACGACCCCCCCGGATTAACGACGACCCCCCCCCGCATTAACGACGACCCCCCCGGATTAACGACCCCCTGGATGACTCCCATCCCATGCTCGCATCCCCCTTCTTGTTCCCCCCCTCTTGTTCCCCCGTTCTTGTCCCCCACCCGGCATGCCTCAGGAGCACATGATGGGGCTTTTGAGGCGCCTCAAAAGTTCCCTCCTCTTGTTCGCTCCCCCCCTTTGTGTCTCAGGAGCACATGATGCGTGGGGCAGTGGCCCTCATGTCGGCCAGTCAGCACGCGTCCTTCTCTGAGATGGCTGCCTCGCAGTGGCTCTCCGTTCGCCTGCAGGTCATCCTCTCCCCCTCTCCGCCTCTCCCCCTCTCCGCCTCTCCCCTTCTCCCCCTCTCTCCCTCACTCTCTCACTCGCGCACTCGCTTACCATTCACTCACACGCGAGCCATCACACCCTCCTGTTGTGGCAACCTTTCCCTTCTCCTGTCGTGCTGGCCTTCCCTGCTGCAGTTGTTACGTCCTCTTGGCGTGTTATTCAAGTGTCCTCGTTGTTATTCAAGTGTCCTCATTGTTATTCAAGTGTTCTCATTGTTATTCAAGTGTCCTCATTGTTATTCAAGTGTCCTCATTGTTATTCAAGTGTCCTCATTGTTATTCAAGTGTCCTCATTGTTATTCAAGTGTCCTCATTGTTATTCAAGTGTCCTCATTGTTATTCAAGTGTCCTCATTGTTATTCAAGTGTCCTCATTGTTATTCAAGTGTCCTCATTGTTATTCAAGTGTCCTCATTGTTTGTTATTCAAGTGTCCTCATTGTTATTCAAGTGTCCTCATTGTTTGTTATTCAAGTGTCCTCATTGTTATTCAAGTGTCCTCATTGTTATTCAAGTGTCCTCATTGTTATTCAAGTGTCCTCATTGTTATTCAAGTGTCCTCATTGTTTGTTATTGAAGTGTCCTCATTGTTTCTTATTCAAGTGTCCTCATTGTTTGTTATTCAAGTGTCCTCATTGTTTGTTATTCAAGTGTCCTCATTGTTTGTTATTCAAGTGTCCTCATTGTTATTCAAGTGTCCTCATTGTTATTCAAGTGTCCTCATTGTTATTCAAGTGTCCTCATTGTTATTCAAGTGTCCTCATTGTTATTCAAGTGTCCTCATTGTTATTCAAGTGTCCTCATTGTTTGTTATTCAAGTGTCCTCATTGTTATTCAAGTGTCCTCATTGTTATTCAAGTGTCCTCATTGTTATTCAAGTGTCCTCATTGTTATTCAAGTGTCCTCATTGGTATTCAAGTGTCCTCATTGTTATTCAAGTGTCCTCATTGTTATTCAAGTGTCCTCATTGTTATTTATTCAAGTGTCCTCATTGTTATTCAAGTGTCCTCATTGTTTGTTATTCAAGTGTCCTCATTGTTATTCAAGTGTCCTCATTGTTATTCAAGTGTCCTCATTGTTATTCAAGTGTCCTCATTGTTATTCAAGTGTCCTCATTGTTATTCAAGTGTCCTCATTGTTATTCAAGTGTCCTCATTGTTATTCAAGTGTCCTCATTGTTATTTATTCAAGTGTCCTCATTGTTATTCAAGTGTCCTCATTGTTATTCAAGTTTCCTCATTGTTATTCAAGTGTCCTCATTGTTTGTTATTCAAGTGTCCTCATTGTTATTCAAGTGTCCTCATTGTTTGTTATTCAAGTGTCCTCATTGTTATAAGTGTCCTCATTGTTTGTTATTCAAGTGTCCTCATTGTTATTCAAGTGTCCTCATTGTTATTCAAGTGTCCTCATTGTTATTCAAGTGTCCTCATTGTTATTCAAGTGTCCTCATTGTTATTCAAGTGTCCTCATTGTTATTCAAGTGTCCTCATTGTTATTCAAGTGTCCTCATTGTTATTCAAGTGTCCTCATTGTTATTCAAGTGTCCTCATTGTTATTCAAGTGTCCTCATTGTTATTCAAGTGTCCTCATTGTTATTCAAGTGTCCTCATTGTTATTCAAGTGTCCTCATTGTTATTCAAGTGTCCTCATTGTTATTCAAGTGTCCTCATTGTTATTCAAGTGTCCTCATTGTTATTCAAGTGTCCTCATTGTTATTCAAGTGTCCTCATTGTTATTCAAGTGTCCTCATTGTTATTCAAGTGTCCTCATTGTTTGTTATTCAAGTGTCCTCATTGTTATTCAAGTGTCCTCATTGTTATTCAAGTGTCCTCATTGTTATTCAAGTGTCCTCATTGTTTGTTATTCAAGTGTCCTCATTGTTATTCAAGTGTCCTCATTGTTATTCAAGTGTCCTCATTGTTATTCAAGTGTCCTCATTGTTTGTTATTCAAGTGTCCTCATTGTTATTCAAGTGTCCTCATTGTTATTCAAGTGTCCTCATTGTTTGTTATTCAAGTGTCCTCATTGTTATTCAAGTGTCCTCATTGTTATTCAAGTGTCCTCATTGTTATTCAAGTGTCCTCATTGTTATTCAAGTGTCCTCATTGTTATTCAAGTGTCCTCATTGTTATTCAAGTGTCCTCATTGTTATTCAAGTGTCCTCATTGTTATTCAAGTGTCCTCATTGTTATTCAAGTGTCCTCATTGTTATTTATTCAAGTGTCCTCATTGTTATTCAAGTGTCCTCATTGTTTGTTATTCAAGTGTCCTCATTGTTATTCAAGTGTCCTCATTGTTATTCAAGTGTCCTCATTGTTATTCAAGTGTCCTCATTGTTATTCAAGTGTCCTCATTGTTATTCAAGTGTCCTCATTGTTATTCAAGTGTCCTCATTGTTATTCAAGTGTCCTCATTGTTATTCAAGTGTCCTCATTGTTATTCAAGTGTCCTCATTGTTTGTTATTCAAGTGTCCTCATTGTTATTCAAGTGTCCTCATTGTTATTCAAGTGTCCTCATTGTTATTCAAGTGTCCTCATTGTTATTCAAGTGTCCTCATTGTTTGTTATTCAAGTGTCCTCATTGTTATTCAAGTGTCCTCATTGTTTGTTATTCAAGTGTCCTCATTGTTATTCAAGTGTCCTCATTGTTTGTTATTCAAGTGTCCTCATTGTTTGTTATTCAAGTGTCCTCATTGTTATTCAAGTGTCCTCATTGTTTGTTATTCAAGTGTCCTCATTGTTATTCAAGTGTCCTCATTGTTATTCAAGTGTCCTCATTGTTATTCAAGTGTCCTCATTGTTATTCAAGTGTCCTCATTGTTTGTTATTCAAGTGTCCTCATTGTTTGTTATTCAAGTGTCCTCATTGTTATTCAAGTGTCCTCATTGTTTGTTATTCAAGTGTCCTCATTGTTATTCAAGTGTCCTCATTGTTATTCAAGTGTCCTCATTGTTATTCAAGTGTCCTCATTGTTATTTATTCAAGTGTATTCATTGTTATTCAAGTGTCCTCATTGTTTGTTATTCAAGTGTCCTCATTGTTATTCAAGTGTCCTCATTGTTATTCAAGTGTCCTCATTGTTATTCAAGTGTCCTCATTGTTATTCAAGTGTCCTCATTGTTTGTTATTCAAGTGTCCTCATTGTTATTCAAGTGTCCTCATTGTTATTCAAGTGTCCTCATTGTTTGTTATTCAAGTGTCCTCATTGTTATTCAAGTGTCCTCATTGTTATTCAAGTGTCCTCATTGTTATTCAAGTGTCCTCATTGTTATTCAAGTGTCCTCATTGTTATTCAAGTGTCCTCATTGTTATTCAAGTGTCCTCATTGTTATTCAAGTGTCCTCATTGTTATTCAAGTGTCCTCATTGTTATTCAAGTGTCCTCATTGTTATTCAAGTGTCCTCATTGTTATTTATTCAAGTGTCCTCATTGTTATTCAAGTGTCCTCATTGTTTGTTATTCAAGTGTCCTCATTGTTATTCAAGTGTCCTCATTGTTATTCAAGTGTCCTCATTGTTATTCAAGTGTCCTCATTGTTATTCAAGTGTCCTCATTGTTATTCAAGTGTCCTCATTGTTATTCAAGTGTCCTCATTGTTATTTATTCAAGTGTCCTCATTGTTATTCAAGTGTCCTCATTGTTTGTTATTCAAGTGTCCTCATTGTTATTTATTCAAGTGTCCTCATTGTTATTCAAGTGTCCTCATTGTTTGTTATTCAAGTGTCCTCATTGTTATTCAAGTGTCCTCATTGTTATTCAAGTGTCCTCATTGTTATTCAAGTGTCCTCATTGTTATTTATTCAAGTGTCCTCATTGTTTGTTATTCAAGTGTCCTCATTGTTTGTTATTCAAGTGTCCTCATTGTTATTCAAGTGTCCTCATTGTTATTCAAGTGTCCTCATTGTTATTCAAGTGTCCTCATTGTTATTCAAGTGTCCTCATTGTTATTCAAGTGTCCTCATTGTTATTCAAGTGTCCTCATTGTTATTCAAGTGTCCTCATTGTTATTCAAGTGTCCTCATTGTTATTCAAGTGTCCTCATTGTTTGTTATTCAAGTGTCCTCATTGTTATTCAAGTGTCATTGTTATTCAAGTGTCCTCATTGTTTGTTATTCAAGTGTCCTCATTGTTATTCAAGTGTCCTCATTGTTATTCAAGTGTCCTCATTGTTATTCAAGTGTCCTCATTGTTATTCAAGTGTCCTCATTGTTATTCAAGTGTCCTCATTGTTTGTTATTCAAGTGTCCTCATTGTTATTCAAGTGTCATTGTTATTCAAGTGTCCTCATTGTTTGTTATTCAAGTGTCCTCATTGTTATTCAAGTGTCCTCATTGTTATTCAAGTGTCCTCATTGTTATTCAAGTGTCCTCATTGTTATTCAAGTGTCCTCATTGTTATTCAAGTGTCCTCGTTGTTATTCAAGTGTCCTCATTGTTATTCAAGTGTCCTCATTGTTATTCAAGTGTCCTCATTGTTATTCAAGTGTCCTCATTGTTATTCAAGTGTCCTCATTGTAATTCAAGTGTCCTCATTGTTATTTATTCAAGTGTCCTCATTGTTATTCAAGTGTCCTCATTGTTTGTTATTCAAGTGTCCTCATTGTTATTCAAGTGTCCTCATTGTTATTCAAGTGTCCTCATTGTTATTCAAGTGTCCTCATTGTTATTCAAGTGTCCTCATTGTTATTCAAGTGTCCTCATTGTTATTCAAGTGTCCTCATTGTTAAAGTGTCCTCATTGTTATTCAAGTGTCCTCATTGTTATTCAAGTGTCCTCGTTGTTATTCAAGTGTCCTCATTGTTTGTTATTCAAGTGTCCTCATTGTTATTCAAGTGTCCTCATTGTTATTCAAGTGTCCTCATTGTTATTCAAGTGTCCTCATTGTTTGTTATTCAAGTGTCCTCATTGTTATTCAAGTGTCCTCATTGTTTGTTATTCAAGTGTCCTCATTGTTATTCAAGTGT